GTGGTGGGGCAGAGAGGGGATGGTATGTTTCTGTTCTCTCTTCTCCTTTTCCATTATATTCGTTTTTGTCTTGGTTTGGTTCGGTATGGGATGGTGGTTGTTTGCTAACTGTTCGCTGGTATAGGCACTTCGATGGTGATGAGTCGTTTGACACGGGTCCTATGGCTGGGCCGTCGGCTACCCCGACTTCTAGTGTGGAGTCGTCGGTTGAGACTGATTTGGGGGGAAGTAAGTTATAGATACCATGATATGGGACTTGGTGTGGATGTGGATGTGGATGTCATCGGAGATAAAGTACACTCAGGCTGCAAGTAGTAAATATATTTGCGCTGATAGAGTAGATATCTTGCCGCATTAGGCAGTATGGAAATATGATCGCAACTATCAATACATCATGAACTCAAGATTCAAATCACCGAGTATACTCAGTACAAGTCTAATGGCTCCGCTATGGCTAATTCTCAGTTGGGGGTATCGTGTTGGGTGCGTTCTCGCCCGTCTCTCTCTGTTCGTTCTCGCTGCTCTGCTGAGCCTGTGTCTGTGCCTCACCAGTCGTGCCTGCGTTGGTGGCCTCTTCCTCCTCCCGTCGACGCCGCTCTTCTTCCTCTCTCGCACGCTCTGCGTTCCGGGCCGCTTCTGCAGCGTTGCGCACTTCTACGTGTCTCTCGCCCACGCCGGGAACCAAGCTTGCAATGAAGAGCGCCAAGGACCGTTCCACGCGTCGCAGTTGGTGTCGCAGTCCGGTTGGCTGAGCAAGAGGAACATTCCCTTGGCCAGTTGACTGCGTGCCGGATGGTGCTGGGGCCGGCTCGTCCGGAGCGAAATGAGCCAGTCCTTCCAGGTGTCGTTGCACTGGCGCCACAAGCATTCGATACAATTGCTGTGGGACCCCGGTTTCTGACAGGAGGGAGACGAGGACGGCCAGAGTCACATACACCACGCGAGACCATGTGCCCGGTTCACTGAACATGTAGCAGAAGAAATACAAGCGCACAAATAGCCACATGCGTCGGAGATTGCGCGTGAAGCTCAACTGTCCGTTATTCTCGAGGCGCTGATTGAGTACGGCCTGTCGGACGATGTTCTCCATGACAACTGCGTTTGCGTTGTGAATCTCCGGCGGGGCACCTGTACGAGGCGCTGAGGCTCCAGTTGGGGAGTGCATGGCTCGGAGCGCATCGAGAGACGACTGCATCGTTTCCGCGCCGCGGGGAGATGCAACCAAGGCTTGATAGCCGTTTGGAGACGAGAGAAGGTACAGAGGAGCTTGCCCTGGTGTGGGATTGGGAGGTCCAGATAGAACAGGCGTGGGCATGGTTCGAGCTTGCGAGACGCGGAGCTGATCGGCGCGGGTATAGATGTTGAAGACGCGGGTAAGCAAAGATTCAATCGAGCCGTCGCGTTCAGCATGTGGGTTCTGATATTGGTCGTCGAGTAGAGCGAACAATTGCGTACGTATGCGAATGATATGGTCCATTGGGGGCGCAACCCCTCGGTTCAGTTGCTCTTCGCCAAACGCAATCTGGTTTCTGAGGATCTGTAGGCGCAATCGGACTTCTTCGGGGAAATTACTATTGGCATTGGTTGTCCCCGACAAGCTGGATGCCATTTCGGCATCAGACGAGACGGACGAGTGTCCCGGATGCGACAGACCGGGCGCTACGTGTGGCCATGCAGGTTGCTGAGCAAATGAAGCTGTCGTAGTCGAGGAAGTAGCCTCTGCGGTGCCTGCCGCGACGCCTCTCAACGGTCCGGCCCGTTCCTGCATGTCAATCTGTCGGCGAATAGCCTCGATATTCCGCCTCAGGGCAAGCCCGATCTCTGCCTCATGGGGAACCGCGGGCAATGCGGGGCCTCGATACCTGATCTCTTGTCCGTGGGGCAGGTTCTGCGGCGTGAATCGATTCGATGCGAATGGACTCTGAGGTGCGGAATGTCCTGAAGCTCCCCGCGGAATTGGAGCAGGAGCTCTGGCAGAAGTTGAAGCATGGGGGGCTGGGGCAGGAGGAAGGACGAGGTGTATGGAATACTCGGTATCCTGGGAAAGCATCACTGTTAGTATCTGCCAACTACATGAGGGGCATGGAGATGAGAGTATGCGCACATTTGATGACTCTAACACATCATTCAGCGCCATGGCATCGTTCGTCAGGGGCTTTCCCCGGTAGATCAACCTTTGAGTCTCAGGTGATGGTTCGCTCGGAATGGTCTGCGCGATTCGAGCTTTGAGAGAGGAGATGGTGATGGACGGGGAGATATCGTGGAGAGTGAATCGGTTGGGAGGAGGTAAAGATGGACATAACACATGTAGTACTATGCTCTGTGGAGAGTCCGCCAGAGCGGGCTGGTTCTCAGAAGACGCGGTCATCCTGGAGTTGTTCTGTCCTTGCGGAGGGATGTTGGGAGTAGACGATCACAAGCGCATAATCGTAGTCGCAATGCTCACTGGAAGAGAGGCAGCAGATTATAACAGAAGTTACTGATAGAAATTGGATCCAGCCACGTCGAGTGCACACAATGACAATCTGAACAAGTGCTAAGTGGCAGTTGATGTGCATGAACCAGACAGCGAGGGACCGCGGGAGAAGTATACAAGAAGCCGGAATGATGACGGTGTCCTTTTCAACCCTGAGATGTGACTGGCCACAACCACACGAGCCAAGCAATATGATGCAGAACAACTATAATTGACAGTTTGACACGATATCAAATGCCCACAAGCTGTCCAGAACAACCAAGCACACAACCACACAGAGCAACAAACAGATCGGAGACAGGCAACCATGACAAGTTGAAGCCGCGCGGACGGAGGGGATTCTGCCCGGCGGTGAAGCAGCAAACCGATGCCGATCACGGGTTTTTGTGTTTTGACTGTCATAAGATTGACGATCTCATCCTGCAATCACAGCTGCTTCCTCGGTTGATCCCGGTTCCGTGATCAGAGGGCAGGTGTCTCGCACTTGTTGCTTTTACTTCCCCCCCCTCTGGGATGACTTGCTCCGAGTAGAACCGCATTATGGCCCTGTGCCTGTCCAGCCGTTCTGCCCTGTGTTGCCGGAAGTTCGCAGTCTCCCCTCATGGGGAGAAGGTAGGATTGATGGAAGTCTCGTTGCGGGCCACTGGTCGTCGTAAGACCGGTGCCAGGCAGTTTTCACAGTCCTGGAAACAGTATCAGCATCAAAATTCCCACGAAAACCCTTCCCCTCGAAGCACCTTTGGCTCCCGACTCCGTTTTGCCCTACGAAACACCAAAGTCGAATGGTATCCCATCCCTGTCGGTCTCGGTATCGGCTTGCTTGGCTTGCTGCAGTTTTACAAGGCTCAGCGGGCGGAACGTGAACGTGCAGAGAGAGAAGCTGCCGGCGAGACTTTTGATTTCGAAAAAGCTCCTCCCCGTCCCAAGCACCGACTGAGTGGACCATGGCAGGTCCAAATTATGTCTACCTTGCCGCTCAAGGCCATATCGCGGCTCTGGGGGCGCTTCAATGAGATTGAGCTGCCTTATTATTTCCGTGTTCCAGGATTTAAACTCTACTCTTGGGTCTTTGGCGTCAACCTAGACGAGGTTGAGGAACCCGACCTTCACACCTATCCCAACCTGGCAGCCTTCTTCTATCGCAAACTGAAACCCGGTGTTCGGCCTCTGGACCCTGACACTCGCGCTATTCTTGCACCCTCCGACGGACGTATCTTACAATTTGGATTGATTGAACGTGGTGAAGTCGAGCAGGTCAAGGGTGTCACATACAGCTTGGACGCCCTGTTGGGTGCCGCGACCCCGAACCATGCCGACCACACAGATAAGTTCACAGACCACCAGGGCGAGCCGGCCCAGGGAACCGAAGCCAAAGTGCTGGCGGACGCGGAGTTTGCCAAGATGAACGGCATCTCCTATACGCTTCCCACGCTCCTTGCAGGAGACCAGGGCGGCGCCCGGAAGCGTTCTGCATCTATCGATGCATCCACCCCATACAAGGCCTCTGCAGAAGCCGAAGTCAAGGCTGACCTGGCTCGTGGGGATGGTGCGCCGTGGTACGCCCCGAAGCCGACGTCCAACAATGCTCTCTACTATGTCGTGATCTACCTTGCTCCGGGTGACTACCACCGCTTCCATTCGCCAGTGCCGTGGGTGGTGCAGAGCCGTCGTCACTTTGCGGGTGAACTGTTCTCGGTGTCCCCGTACCTGCAGCGCCACCTGCCGGGTCTCTTCACCCTCAATGAACGCGTCGTGCTGCTGGGCCGCTGGCGTTGGGGTTTCTTCAGTTATACCCCCGTGGGTGCCACGAACGTTGGCTCGATCAAGGTGAACTTTGACGCAGAGTTGCGTACTAACAGCCTTACTACGGACACCGCGGCCGACATGGCAGCCGCCGCTGCGGCCAAGCGTGGTGAGCAGTACCCTGGATTCGTCGAGGCTACCTACCTCCACGCCAGCCAAACCTTGGGAGGTCACCCTCTGCAGCGTGGTGAGGAAATGGGCGGATTCCAACTTGGTAGCTCAATCGTGTTGGTGTTCGAGGCGCCGGTGGGCACCCGTAAGTCCTTCGACGCGGGCTGGGAAGAGGGCCGACGCGAGGGAGGATTCAACTGGACCATTGAGAAGGGCCAGCGCATTAAGATGGGAGAGAAGCTCGGATTCGTTGATGTTGAACACTGAAGGTGACATACGGGCAGAAGTTCACCACCAAAGAAAAAAAAAGCCATATAGACCAATTTGTGCACCACCGGACGAAGATCCGGGGCGCTTGCTTATGTATCATACACTGTTCCTGTACATCTCAGCTATTAGCTGATCTAATAACTAAACTGTTTTTTTAACTCGTCTCATCTACCCCATAGGTACATTACATAGCACAGCCCCGATAAGAAACACGTGACTGATAACGGCAGTCCATCCATGAAGCTTTCCATCCATTCTCGATCCAGCATCAACAAACACTCTCAAAATCCCCACGAACCATGGCCAATTCACAATAACTTGCTTCCAAACTGTATCCAACATGCCGCGTCACCATCATCTCCTCCGTCGACACCCCGCACCTGACACCTCCTCCCCCTCCGACAGCACCACCCCCACCACGCACCGCAACAACCACCCCCGGCGCCCCAACGCGCCAATCGCTCGCGCCTCGGCCACCACGCGCAATTCCAAACCCCTCCGTCCCAAGGCCTCTCCATTCCCACGCTCCATCCTTCCTCTGGAACTTTCGACCCCGATCATCCCCTCCACAGCCACCCCAGCCAGCATGCAGCTCACAACCCCGCCGCAACGGCCGCCCTGTTCTCTCTCTTCGGACGCGGCGTGCATGGCCGTCCGCCCAACCACCCAGCGGACCAGATGATGGACGACGATGAGGATATTGATGACGAGGAAGAAGAGGAGGACGACGCTATCCCAGAAGAGTACGACGGGGTCGGATTCAGCCACGAGACAACACTCAGTTCCATCGCCCGTCAGCGAACCCGGCACCGACAGCGGCAGTTTCAGCGCTCTATCTCCGAGGAGGACGGAATGCTACCTGCCCATGATGTGGATGTGGCGGGGCCTTCTGATATCGAGGAAGAAGACGAAGAAGAAGAAGAAGAAGTGGAACATGACGAGCAGGTCGAAGAGGATGAAGAGGATGTGGAGATTGAGCCGGAGGCTGGTAGCGAGTCGGAGATGCTACATGAGCGAGGTATTTACCCTTCCCACCACCCACTTTACAGCTATCAGTCAACCTACTTAAAAAAAAAAAAAAAAAAAAAAAAAAAAAAAAAAAAAAAAGACATATAAACTAATCATTCAAAACGATCTATGCACAGAGAAATCCCCAACTCCCCTCCCCGCTAACCTCCGCGAAATCTCCTCCTTAGCGAGCTGGACCGTCTCAACTCATAAGCCCGGCTGTGGCGTGACTGCCCTCCGTCACCCGTCGCCAACGCAGTACTGGCAATCCGATGGTCCGCAACCGCATACCCTCACTTTGCACTTCTTCAAGTTGGTGGCTATTGTGCGCATCAGGGTGTATTTGGACTTCGAGATGGATGAGAGTTATACACCTACTAAGATGACGTTCCTGGCGGGTATGGGCGGGAATGATCTGGTCGAGTTTGCTAATTGGGAAGGTGAGGGGCCGTGTGGGTGGGTTGATGTGCAGTTGGAGGGCGTTGGAGGGAGGAGTGGGGGGTGGGTTACTACTAGTGCGCAGAGGCAGGGTGGTGCTGGTTCTGGTTCTGGTGCTGGTGGAGGGAGGAAGAAGAAGAAGAAGTCGGGGAGGCGGAGGAAGGGGAAGGGGAAGAGAAGGGGCGGGTTTATCTTTGAGGATCCTGACGTTGATGTGGATGAAGATGATGAGGATGATGATGACGATGACGACGACGAAGAGGATGATCCGTATGCGGGGAACGTGCTCAAGGCCATGGTCATTCAGATGCGAATTATCGAGAATCACCAGAACGGCAAAGATACGCATGTGCGCGGGTTCCAGGTGTTTGCGAGAGATGATGAGAGAAAGAGGGTAGGAAATGCGCCGTCAGCGTCGGCAGATGGTCGTGTCCGGAGACACAGTGCCAGACGGTCGTTGAGAGCCAGTACGCATGAGGATATGGAGCGTGATGGTGTTTCCAAGGTGGTGACGAGTTTGGAGGAGCCGGATTGGATGGGCGAGCCTGTTATTCGGTAGTAGTCATTCATTGTCAGAGCTCGATTGATAGCATTTCGCGGAGTTTTAGATACCCCCCCTTTTACAACATACATCAATATGTCATACACGCAGCAGCTGTCATACAATAACTCCCCATACTTAGTTAGTACGTAGTACCAGCAAGGACGATCCCGACAGTAGCGTGGGTAGTAGCAATGTAATTATTATATTCATCATTTAAATCCAGTCATATCTCGTGCGGGTCACCCGCCCAACAATCAATACTTTTCCACCCCATCATGCCAAACCAAATTAACCTACTTCAACAACTTCTCCAGCTCGGCAGCAACAGCATCACCAACCTCGCTAGTGGTAGCCTTACCACCAATGTCACCAGTACGAACACCAGACTCGAGGACATTGCGAACAGCAGCCTCAATAGCGCGGGCCTCGTCGAAGCGACCGAAAGAGTACTGCATCATCATAGCGACGGACAGAATAGCAGCAACGGGGTTGACAATACCCTTGCCAGCGATATCAGGAGCAGAGCCTGCAAAGCCAATTAGTTTAGCAAACCCTACCAACATCCAAAGAAAGAAGAAGAAGAAGAGGAGGAAGGGAAAGGGATCAACATACCATGAATAGGCTCATAGATACCATTAACCCGGCCCTTCCCATCCGGAATACCACTCAAACTAGCACTAGGCAACAAACCCAAAGAACCAGGGATAACACTAGCCTCATCACTAATGATATCACCGAAAAGGTTACTCGTAACAATAATTCCGTTCAACTGGCGAGGGTTCTTAACCATAATCATAGCGGCCGAGTCAATCAGCTGGTGCTCAATCTTCAACTGAGGGAATTCCTTCGCCATGACCTCAGTGACCGTCTTTCTCCACAGACGACTCGTAGCCAGCACATTGGCCTTATCCAGACTCCACACGGGGAGAGGGGGGTTGTGCTGCAGGGCAAGGTGTGCGGCGAGGCGAGTGATGCGCTCGATCTCGGCCCGAGAGTAGGGCTCCGTGTCCATGGCGTAGCCGCTGCCGTCGTCTTCCTTGCGGTCTCCGAAGTAGATTCCACCCGTCAGTTCGCGGATGATGTTGAAGTCGACGCCCTCGCAGACTGAGGCTTTCAGGGGGGAGTGCTCAACCAGGGAAGGGGCGGCGAAGTTGCAGGGACGCAGGTTGCCGAATGTGCCCATTTCTTTGCGCAGCTTGAGGAGACCTTGCTCCGGGCGGACGGCGCCGGTGCCCCATTTCTGTTTGCAGAGTTAGTTGTTGGTGGTGGTAATGGTGGTGAGGATGGTGGTTGGTGGTTGGGGGGGGATGTACCGGTCCACCGATGGCACCGAGGAGAACGGCATCGGCGTTCTTGGCCGCGGTCAGGGCCTCGTCGGTCAGAGGGTTGCCGGTGGCGTCAATGGAGGCCTGTATAGTTATAGTGTCAGCGTTTGATGGGTGTTGTAGATGAGATTTGGATGGGACGTACACCGCCCAGCAGGTGGTCCTGGAGGTTGAGGGTGATATCATCGCGGCTCTTCTCGATGACGCGGAGGACCTGTGGTGGAGCATAGTTAGCATTGAGGGAATCTGGACGCTCAATTCGGAGCTGAGCATGATCTGCTAACCTTGATGGCCTCGGCGGTAACCTAGATTGACGTTGGCATTGGGTCAGTCGATTGTCCGGAGCTGTACATGGGTATAGGCTCAGCGCGGACTCACCTCGGGACCGCAGTGGTCACCGGCGAAAACGACAATGTTGTAGGCGGGCATGATGAGGGCGAGTGAAAGAATAGTCTGGCACGGGGGAAAGTGGACGATTGAGCGGAGGAGAACGAGGTATAAACTACAACTTATACGGACTGGCGGGGCAGTTGGCGAGGCTCCCCGCGCCGACACCGGAGCCACTGCCGGCCCTAGTCCGCCCCCGGTTTAGCGCGGCGTGTGTACTTTTACCCACGCTTACCACCGGAGTTACAGCTATTATTAACATTGACTCACTGTAAATGTGTCCACTCTAGTAGTCCCGATTAAAAATGCTATCGACGATGGCGGCGCCAATTTAATCACACGAAAAAAGCATTTGAAACAAAGACAGAAGCCATGCAAGTAGAGAATCAATAAAGCACGCCTCCAATATCGTCCCATTTTTGCCCTGAGACGTCTGTACACCTAGCCTTATATGCCGCAGTCCCGCCCATCACATATACTAAGACATGACCGATATCCTCGAGCCAGAGAAAAGAAATAGAAAAATGAAGAGAGACAGGGGGTAAGGGAAATTATGGGGAGACTCCTGGATCACTCTGAGCTGTCCAGAAACAGCCAGAGCACCAGAACCATGCAGAAAATATCTGACCCGGTCGGGGGAACATACATCACTCCTCCAGATCCCGGGAACGTAGCCCAACGGGCATTATCGAATTGACTGGTAGTCAGAACAAGCCTACTTCAGCCACGGACTGGCAAAAATGACTTAGTTCTTCTTGCCATTGCGCACGGCCTTGCGGCTAGCAATGTCGCCCTCCACCAGCCACTTGCTCGCCTTGACCAGCTGCACAACGTTGATGAACTGCTTCAGAGCCATGACGGGAGCCGAAATGCCGGTAATCACCCAAGGCCAAAAGCTGTCAATCTTATTGGCGCGCGCCATCTCCAGAGCCCCAGCACTCCATGGGCTGGCAGTGCTCACAGGCTGCAGGAGGGAGGGAGACAGGGTGGGGGAAGAGAAAGAGAGCAGGTACAGTCCAATGAAGAACAGCTCATTCAGCGCGCAGCAGATAAACAAAACGGTCTGTGGTGCATGTCAGCATGTTGACCGAAAGAGACGCAAACGAACAACGAACCCTGCTGTGGTAATACTGGTACAAGACCCAGCTGCGGCTAGCCTCCACCTTCTTGTGGCTCTGACTGGAACCTCCCATGCTCAGAGTCGCGTACATGTGCATGTAGTGACTGGCCATGTCCAAAGCGATCAAGCTCTGGAAGATAATGGCCCACCGTGGCCAGGCGGAGCTCAGGAAGACCAGCAGACACGCGGTCGTGCACCGATCCGTCACCATGTCCAGCACCGCACCAAATGTGGTAGACTGGTTATAGTAGCGTGCCGCATATCCATCCAGAGCATCCAACAGGCACGACACGCTGTAAAGGAGGGAGCACGTCCGCGGGTGCAGAGGCATATAGTAGAGGGAGGCCATCGTCAACACAACACGCGCATATCCTAGTCCCATCTAAGTTAGGTGTTGTCAGACTGCAATAGAGTCGCTGAGCTCTTACCGATCAAGTTCGGAGCAAAAAGAAACACGTTTTCCTCCACATCCCCATCAACAGTGGCTGCTGCACCGTTCTTTGGCGACTCCTGCAAAGTCCCGTTAACGGCCGGCGATGGGTCGGTTGCCTCCAGCTCAGCGGCGGCTTTCTGTGATCTAGTTCGGGGGCCCATCGTGGCGAAAATAATATGAATGCTGAAACAAAAGTAGAACTAGTTTGTAGGAGGTCCGGGAGGAAAAAACGCCTGGGCGACGGGGAGTTGACGGAAGAAGGAGAAGCTCTATCCGAGGGGTTCCACGAGGACGGCGAGTGGACCGTGTCCGAAGCAAGCTTCGAGTCAATCGGAGCAGCAAAACTCAGTCGGGTAAGAAGGCTAGAGAGATGGAGACAGTAACGTTAGCACGTCTTACAGTGTCTCACTAGAAATGGACCACGAGGTCAAGGCAAGTTCAGATGGGGTGAGAGAAGACGACGGCGCCGGAGATTCTCCTGAAAGCTTTGTGGAACACGTACCTTCTGCTTTTTTTTGCGACGCGCCTGTGTCAGAAGCCAAAGCCCACAGGATTTGAATGAACAACAGGGATTAATGTCACTGTACAGAGAGAGCCAACAGAAGGGAAGTCGTGACTATCTTAGCAGCGCATGGAAGGGCAGTCTGTCCACGTTGGTCAGGAGAGGAAAATGGCCATGTGTGAGGTTTGGCGATAAGGTTGGGGGGTGATAAGAAGGAGCCACTCACGATGCGGTCACCTTAATTCATCCGCCGCAATCCGGCGAGTGGTGCGATTGCACTGATCAAGACAGTTGATCACAGAATCTAAGTGTCAAAGGTGCGACAACGAGTTCTAAGAGGAGCCAAGTGATGATGAGAAAGATTTAGAGAGGCGGGTGGTCAGGAGAAGCTGTTTTCTGTTTGCGGCCAGCCTTACATCCTCTTCCGGGCCGGTCTCGACCAAGAGTTGCCCGTGGACCCTGATCTACCCTTTCCATACATCAATTAGAATTCAACCTGCAACTAATTATTTACTCAAAAGCCCATTCTAAAAGTAGTGGCGTGTAGACAAAACAACAGAAATTAGTTGTCAAGGACTGCGTATGTACAGATGTAAACTATGCAACGCTCTCTCGAGCAGCACGAACCAAACGAGCAGCAGAAGAAATAAGCTATATACAAACAGGCATAATCTCTATCAAATGTTGAAAAAAATCTTCATTATCATCTCCGTGACCTGCGCGGATCTGTCGCTTCTTGCCGACGCCACTCTCGAGACTCCTTTGTCCCCAAGCTGCCCAGTCCTCCCTCTAGCCGTCGCTCCCACCCGCCTAATCGGACTACCAGGCAGGTGGCATTGTCTCCTTCACGGGTCACCTCAGTCGCAAATTTGACCACATCGGAAGCACCCTGGTCGGGGGTCTTGGCTTCCTTGACGATGTCGACGACCTCTTGATCTAGGAGCGTGCCGCTGACTCCGTCCGACATGAGCACCAAGAACGAATACTCAGCTGGGCCCATCTCAATGCGACGGATCTCAGGCTCTGCCGAGACACCGATGCGCTTGGACTGGACGTCCCCAAAAGATCGAGTGTTGGCAAGCCCGCTCATCCGCTCTTCTCCAAACGAGTCTGTCACAAACGTGGTAGCGTAGCGTCGTAACCGGGAAGCTTCAATAGGCGACGAGGGGTGATGGTTGGACGTGACCGGGATGGCTTGGCCGGTCAAAGTGGAACACAAGAGGATCCGGGTATCTCCGACATGCGATACAAGCAGGCTAGATGGAGCATTAGGGTGCCAAAACGGAGCGGGCGTCGGAGTTGAGATGAGCGCAATACTGGCCGTGCTGCCT